TGCCGGAGTGCACCGGAACGAACGATACTATCATAAACAAATGCCGCCCCCCCCCACACACACACACACACACACGCGCGCGCACACACAAAACGAGGCCACGCTTTATTAACTCGTGCGCACGCTTTAGTAACTCGTGCTCACGCTTTAGTAACTCGTGCTCACGCTTTAGTAAATCGTGCGCATGCTTTATTAACTCGTGCGCACGGGTTACTAAAGCGTGTGCACGAGAAGGTATCTCGTGCTAACGAGAAAGTAAAACGTGGCCACGTTTTATTTATTTTTCTCTCTATGAACCCTCCAGGGCTCTGTAAATGTTTACATACCAACAATAGAAAGATTCTTGTACAGTATATAGAAGTCACAATATATAAAAACACAATTCAAAAATATATAGAATAAGTAATACAACACTATAGTAGACTAAACTACTACTAACACTTAATAAACTATAAACATAGGATATATGTATACATTACAAAGTGTGCAAAGTAGTTGCAGCTTAAACTCAGTACAATATGTACAAAATGTTCAGGGTTTTGGAAGGGAGAAAGACACCGTGAAATCTGGTTAAACAGAAACTAAACAAAGGATGGAGCTCTGAGTTCTCTGCCCTCCAGAGGAGGTGTGCAGGGTTATAGCTGGTGGCAGGAATTACTTCCTGTATCGATGATTAGAGAAGGAGCTCCGTTTTCTGTAAGCAGGAGGAGAGGGTGGGCAGGATAAAGAAATGGATACACACATTACCATGACAGTGAGTGTGAGAGTATATCGGCCCTGACAACTTCCTCACTCATCTCAATTCACCTTTTATATTTCCCCTTCTAACATATAATACAGTTTAGATTTGGATAGCATATAACCAGCATACATCAATTCAATTCCATTTTGTTTTGTTTTTGTTCAATGCATTTGTTTTTTTTTGGCTGACTGGCTTCTTGTGATTAAAGAACTGCTGGATATGAATAAAACCCAAATATGGTGATTGTCCCCAGTGTTCACCGTGATGATAGAAAAGCCACTGTTTTGCATACTGAACTGATTTACTAAGCATTATGCCTGCCTAAAATACTCGACCAAAAATAAACTAGCCATTATTTTCCATATATTTAGACAGAAGCATTCCGTTTTAGATGGTTGTTAGTAAACCAGAAGTTGTGCTGAATGTACTTTTCAGAGCTCATTTTTTTCTTTTGTGGCAGGTTATGGTGACGCCTCTAGTCCCGTGATCGCAGCCCTGAAGAGGTTATCTTCAAGGAGCATGTCATCATCTAAAAGTCTGGAAAACCTCAGCTCACAAACAAGTAAAATAACAATTCTTCTTCAGATACTTAAAGTATACTTCTTAAAGTAGCTTAAGGTCAGAAAGCTACTTCATTATTATTTCATTTGACGAGATGTCATTTATATGGGAATATATGGGAATAATATTGTCTTTTCTTAGGAGAAGAGTGGACCGGAAATAAATCAAGAGAACAAAATAATCAGAGTGTGAAAAACATTAAACTCTTGGTCCTCTTTCTTCCAGGTTGCTCACTCCCTCCATCAGCCTCAACTCTGCCCAGCTCTGAGCAGATGAGAGGCAGTGTGTCAGTGACTGCTCTTCAGAACCACCAGGTGAATACCCAGAACTGACTTTTGCATATGGCCATCACACAAAAAGTATGATCTCCAGTGTTCAACATCTGCACTGCAGTCAGGGGAGTGATGCCTTTACCACTTCAGCTTTCACAGAACTCTCTGAGTTCACAGAGGTTTTTTTCCTGTATGACCAATTTTCTTTTTCTAGGTTTATGTGTTTAACTGTCATTCATGCTCTTCTCTGGTATCAGACAGACAGTGACACCTTTGAGACCAACTTTGGCTGGAGAAGAAACACAGGGAGCTCCACGTCTAACCTCAGCCTCTCCTCAGGAATGGCCTCCATGTCCTCTGTATGTCCACATGCAGATCACTAGAGAATTATGTTTCTGATTGAAAAAGTCCTCCCTGTCTATGGCGCACAACTCCATCGGTTCATACACAAGACATACATCTTTAGAAATGACTCACCATTCAGGGGTTTTAAAAGCTCAACTATTTCTTAAAACAGCTGGTCACTGTAGATGAATTTTGTGTATTTTATGAATTGTGTTGACCAAAAGAAACAACAGCAATTTTTCAAGAAGGATCATTTAAAGAAAGAAAATGCTTCATATGGGGTTACGGGTCAAAAGACAAACATAAAAAAAAGAAAGACAATCAAAGTACTTAAAGCAGTGATGATTGTTCTCTCTGTAATGAGCAGGTCGGCGGCAGCACCAGCAGCATCTGCCCTGCAGACTTTGGAGACGTTGAAGTCCAGGGAAGCATCCAGTTTGCTGTGAACTACATCCAGAAGCTTGGAGAGTTCCACATATTTGTTGTGCACTGCAGGGACCTGGCCGTGGTGGACAGTAAGAAGAACAGCTCCGACCCGTAAGTGCTTGATATTTCTGCAACATAAAAATAGCAAAGGTAGAATAAATATAATTCCGCGACTTGGGTTGTGGAAATGGCACTGTTTGATCAGAAAGGAGGCTGAAACATTTTAAATGGAACTGTACATTTATTACCTCAAGAATGTTTAAGATTTGACTCTAAATGTTTTTTCTTCAGTTGTCTGTCTGTTCTAACCTTTTACAGGTATGTGAAATGTTATCTTCTTCCTGATAAAACAAAGTTAGGAAAGAGAAAAACTGTTGTTAAAAATAAAACTTTGAACCCCACCTACAATGAAATCCTCAAGGTAAGAATTTAGTCTTTTACACATTTAAAATGACATGTATACTTTATTTTATAAACGTTGTTGTTGCCTGCTTTCTCTTTCATAGTACAAAATCATAATGGGAGGGTTGAAAACTCAGAGTTTGAACATCTCGGTGTGGCACAACAACACTTTTGGGCGGAACAGCTTCCTTGGTGAGGTGGACCTGGATCTGTCAGAATGGGACTTCAGCAACACACACATAAATGAATATGCACTTAAAGCCAGGGTAAAGGCTTCGTTTCTTCTACACACTCTGTGCATGATAGAAGTGTTTGGATGATTTTAACTCACCCCGCTGAATCCTTCAGGTCTCAGCACAAAGTCCAGCATCTTTTCCTTGGCAGCAGGCGGACAGCAGGGGACAGATGAGAGTGGCTCTCAGGTTCCTGCCGCAGACGTCTCACAGTGAGCACATGACTCCTCACATGGGATCCATTCCATTCTTGGAGTTGGACTGCTTATTTTTGTCTGACTGCATCCACAGGTAAGAGGACATCGAGGATGGAGACTGGTGAGGTGCAGATTTGGGTGAAAGACTGCAAGAACCTTCCTCCGGTCAGAGGAGTTATTATTGACCCCTTTGTGAAATGGTAGGATGTCCTGCAAACTATACACGGAGACACTAATGGCGCGTTTCCACTGCAGCGCGGAGCTCGCTTTAAGCGTGCCGAACCGTGCGGGGCCCGTTTTTGGTTGCGTTTCCACTTGGCCTAGTACCGGTTAGCGGGTCCTAATTCACAGTTTTTCTAGCCCCATAAAATCGTGGTTCTAGGGCCAGGAACAACCAGGCTGAGTCAGGCTGAGTATGCCAAACTAGAGTAAGGTGACCAGATTTTCAAAATGAAAACCGGGGACATTTTGAGTTTTGCGGTCAATATATCATTAACATATCCAATTTTCTTCACTGTTTAAGAAAAAAGGGGGACAATTCTGGTTTAATGTAATTCGAAGATTTGAACTGTTAAAACAAACAGAACAGAAGGAAGATAGCTCATATATGAGACTTGAAAGGTCTTTTATTTTGAAACTCTAGATGAGATTGTCCAGATTCTCTCTGAGTGACTAGATGGGGTGTCCTGCTATCACCCTGGAGTGAAATAAGTCTTTGATAATTTGACAGCTTTTTATTTATTCTTGTATAAAAACAGAAGGACAATAGCCCATATGAGATTTCAAAAGTATTTTATTTTGAAATTCTACATCAGATTGTCCTGATTTTCTCCGATTGACTATATGGGGTCTCCTGCTATCACCCTGAAGTATTTGATTGACTTTGAATGACTCTTTGATTATGGACAGT